GTGCTAAGAATGGTAAGGCTTACTGAAGATGCCGGTAAAATGTCTGTAAATGTACCAAGTCCACGATCGGACGCTGAAAATTGCTAATAATACTATGGACTCCGGACGAGAGGTATTCCTCTCCATGACAATACGACCAAGGCAATAAAGAGTATAACATTATAAAAATGCATAAACATATTTTCTCATTCAAACAGTTATTTTTCAAAAAAACTTTTTTATTCAGCACTTATTACCAAATCCATTTATTATCAATCATAACTAGATAAGGAAGAATTTCCTTTATCACGTTCCTATAGATGAGAGGCATACAAATGCTGGAATATGGGAAGAAATCCTCACTTTACACTCGCAGAGTAAACATGGCGAAGCAAGCCACTGGTAGACCTTTCCAACGTGGCATCCTTGTTGGTCTAATGATAGGGTGGAAGGAGTTTCGAGGGTATGAACAGTTCGGGTAGCTTTTTCTATGGATCTGGTCAAGGCCAAGTGTGTAGGACAAAATGGCCGTTTGTATCGGGTGATAGCTGGAGGTTCGCTTGCGGCAGAAGACGCGGTAGAATCTGTGGAGGTCTGTTTATCGACTGTAAACTCGCGACTTTGGTTCCTTGTCCCGGCCGAAGGTGGGACAAGAGACGACCATGCAGAACAGCAGCGTGAAAGGAAGCCAGCAGGTCCGGAGGATAAATAAGATTCGGAAAGAATGAGATCTGGTCGGCTTGAGGATAAGAAATCTGAAGATGAGGAAGAAAGCGATAAGAAAGCCGGGGAGTTGGCGCCTGCCCAAGTGGGGCAAATCAAGCTGGAGCAGTTGATTAGTCGACCGAACTAGCAGACAAAGTAAAAAATGGTTGGATTATGCATGCTATATGTGAGATTCGATAAAGCTGTTGTGATGGCAAAATACGAAGAGCAGTTATATAAAATATAGATTCAATGATGGTATCATATTGTAACAGAATATATTAACTTTCTGTATTGCCTACATTATTACAATGAACAACTTCTTAATTATTTTTCACAGACAACCGAGGATAAATACTCTTGCATTAATGTGCTAGCAGATGTCTTATTGTTATAAATTAACGGCAATTTAGTTTGGTCTAATCTTTATATTTACATCTTGAATTCTAATATGGTTGCTGATAAGAGCAAAGCTTGTCAGAAAATCCATTTTATTTTGATTAAAAGCAACCTCAAATGAGAGCGAAGGTTGTATGACTGAGTGAATTTTAGCATACAATCAAAACATTTTGGATGCATCGTGGGTTAAATC